AGTAGGTAAATATTATCCTAGATGATCAAGGAATAATCTTGCTATTGGAATTTAGTAAGTGTAGAGGAACTGTCAATATCCCATTTCCAGTAAGTTATTATCGTTCATATCTCAAGAAAGTCATATCATATAAAATAATGTATATTTTAAAAGATTAAAATCTTATAATTCAGTTTATGCTTTCTTATTATTTAATAAATGTGCTTAATATTTTAACCTTAAAGTTCTAGGTTCCTAAATTTCAAGCTTAAATTGTAATAAATACGTTTTAGATGGCAAGTATATTCAACTTTGTGTTTTTAAATATAAAACAATAACTGAAAAGTTGCTTTGTTTCCATCTTTATAGATTTTATTACCATTGGAAGTTTTTAAGCTTATATTTAATATGATCCTCCCTATCTCCTTGGCTATATTTTTTCCTGTGTAGAATATTCAAATTAAACAAAAACAAATCAAGATGGGAATGAAAAACAAAACAAAAGAATATGATCAAAATTATACTTAAAACTTTAGAAGAAATGGTCCTTTAAGATGCCATTCTATTACTGCAAATGCTGCAGATATTTATTCCACAGTAAGATCTCATCTGGTTTATCTTCACATCACCACTCTTAAAAATAATGTAAATAATTTCTTAGTGTGTTAAGAAAAGAAATAACAAACACATATCAGTAGATTGAGGAGCTGGAAGTCTATTCCATCATATTGTGTTTGAGATTCACTATCACTTGCCTCACTTAACACTTAATATTCTGATCAGTTACCTGTGGTAACACATCATACTGATATTCAGTCAGACCATTGCTCAATTAGAAATATGACTGCAAGGAGGCTGTGTGGCTCAGACTGGAAACGCATTTTGCTTAAGGAGATCATTTGATATGTTTGTGGTGCCTGTGTTGTCACTGCACACACGAAGGGGAGACCATTCATAGTTGCTCCCAATTGCAAGTATTGGACAAACTGCAGCATCCTAAGAGCTTGGCTGATCACTAGCACAGACAGCCCTACTAGACCTTTACTATGAAACATTTGGGGTATAAGAGGAATTTGTACTGTCATTAGAAAATGTGGGGTCATGGATCTAAGGGTTGAACAAGTAAGTGAGCATCTGGTACTTAGGAGCACAGGAGCAGGTCAAAGCACTGCAGCTTCTGGAAGGAAGGCAGATTGGGAAGAGTCAGAGAAAGCCCTGATGTGCTGGATAGCTTTTAGTGTCAACTTGACACACCGGGGTTGAGGGAGCCTCAATCGGGGAATTGCCTCCATTGGACTGGCCTGTGGCCATGTCTGAGGGGCATCTTCTTGATGAGTGATGTGGGAGGGCCCAGCCCACTGTGGGTGGTGCCACCCCAGCCAGGTGGGCCTGTGTTGCATAAGAAAGCAGGCTGAGCAGGGGCCAGGGGAGCAAGCCAGTAAGCAGCATTTCTCCATGGCCTGTGCTCCAGCTCCTGCTTCCAGGTTCCTGCCCTGAGTTCCTACCATGGGCTCCCTGATCAACTGCGACCTGGGAGATGTAAGACAAATGCTTTCCTCCTCAAGTTGGTATTGGTTAGAGTATTTTGTCACAGCAATGAAGAACAAACTAGGACACCTGGAGAAACCCAGGCACGTTGGTCCAAAGCCAGGTGTAAGGTAAGGATGCTGTTTAGATTAAGGACAGAGCTTAAGCCTGGGCCAGCTGCAGAGGTTTACCTGAATATACAGCAGAGGTCTTCCCTTTCCTCCTACTTCGTGTCAAGAGGGAACCTTGGACTTACATGAGTCCAGCTGTATAAAATGATTTGGTATCTGGAAGCAGGTGCTTTTCCTAATGTGACAATTTTTCAACATTTCTGCAGGAAATAGGTGGATTCTGTGACCCATCACACACAGTGGTCATCCTCAGATTTGTATGTAGCCATCCTACAAACAGCACTTTGAATGGGTATGAATTCCATTCTCCATGCTCTCTTGTTCCTGGCTTCATGTTGCCTTAGCCTCTGACTCTGCAATCATCAGGGGTCTGAGGAGAGGACTTTGCTGGTTAAGTGCTTGCTGTACAAGCAAGGGGATTTGAGTTTGTGTCCCCAGCACCCAGGTAAAAAGCTGGTGGAGAGCATGTATTTGTAATCCCAGTGCTAAGGGGTGGGGGAGCAGAAATGCATGGCTCTCTTGAGCTCACTGACTAGGCAGTCTAGCCAAGTGGGTGATCTCCACTTTCAAAAAGAGACCCTGTCTCAAAAAATAAGGCAGAGCGTGATTGAGAAAGACAGCTGATGTCAACCTCTGGCCTCCACATGCACACATACATGTGTGCACACACAAAAGCACGTACACATACACATAAAGAATGTACAATTATACAAGACACCTCAAAGTGATTTGGCTGAAACAAATGTCCTGTAGGGCTTTGCTAGATGACAGTGTATTTCTCTTTATTCAGATTTAAGGAATCGGGAATGTACATTTAAGAGAAACAATGAACACATACACTCATACACACTTGCATAGGTATGTATTTGTTCACAAGTATACACACATGCCTGAACACGCATGTAAAAAAGATTGCATTCCTCCATGAGCTAAGTATTCTTCAAGAAACTTAAAGACTGATGAAGGAAAGAGTGGGGCATCCATCAGCATCTACTGTGAGGCTGGGTTTGTAAAAACTGAAGGTGTTCTGGTCGAGATGGCTTTAAGCTGAATACTATGCAACAGTTAGGATTCGAAAATCTATTTAGGAAGAAATAGAAGATGGGCAAAAAAGGAAGATTCAGGCAAGGATACATATTATCTTTCACATGGCAACAGAATTCTAAGCAGATGTTAACACTAAGAGCTTACTTTGTCTAAATTAAGAGAATTGAAATACCATTTTGACTCAGAAAAACATTCCCACCTCACTCTCCCCTACCCAGTGCTGTGTAACACTGCAAAGAAACACATAGCCATTTTTCCATCTTCTAACTTACAGGCAAATGGGTGGTGGGGACAGAGTGGAGAGGTCTAACCAACTAGGTAGAGTGTGGACCCTGAAGCAAGAGAATGTGCCTAGTCTGGGTGCAGGGGGTGTTCAAAACACTGTGGGAAGGGTCTGGGTTAGGAGGCTAATCCAGAGGTCTGAGACTGGGTTAACAGGAGCAGGCCTAGGCCCAAGGCTGGAATAGGGACAGCCTGGGGAGAAAGAATGTAGTTGGTAAGGTGCAGGGGACTCAAGCCATAGTGGGTGGGGTCTGATATATGAGGATAGTCTTCAGGGAACCTGCTCAGGTGGGACGATCAGGATGAGGACCTAAGGCCAAGAAAACTGAATTAGTCATATAATTAAATTTTATATGTGAATTCTTTAGAGTAATTTAAAATACGTTAATGAAAAACCAAAAGTATTTCCAGAAAAGAAAATAATATGTATAGAAATAATATTTCTGAGTATTAGGAAGTTCTTCTATAGTATTTGTAGATTTAGGCTTAAAGAATAAAAAAAATCATGCAGTTTAAAAACTTAGTATGAACTGTTTCAAAAGTTCACTGTTTTCTATGTCATTGCTCTCACTGTGGAAGTTAAAGTCCTTGTTAATGGCAGAGCAGACCTTGTACTGTATTGGGTTGACCCAGACTTTTATAGGAAAAGGCTTCAATACCTCACAGCCTTGAGTCACCTTTCATGGGGTTTCCTTTGCTCTGAAACTGTTTCTCTGCCTAGGGCTAAACTGTGTTTCTGCATATTTTCAAATGACCAGGAGATGGCAGTGTTTCAGAATCTTCTCCATCACACCAATCTCTTTTTGAGACCAGTTTCTGCTGGCCTGGAACTCAGTTAAGTAAACCAGGCTGGCCTCTGTTTCTTAGAGATCCTGCCTCTGCATCTCATGTGCTGAGATTAAAAGTGTGCACCACAATTCCCAGTTTGCATCACTCCAGTTTTACAGCATGGACAGGCAATCAGTTATCCCAAAATCCAGGCCAGGTACCCCATGTGTTCCAGTCACAAAAGATTGTCCCCAAACATCAAGATGAAGCATGAAACCCAACATTTTACATTACTCACCCTGCTTGTTTGGCCTTGTTATCCTTTGAGCTTTGAAATGAATTTGAACCACCTGTCCAGTCATGGTTACCTAAATCATCTTGAACCACTGTATCAACTCCCTCCTAAGGAAAAGACACTTCTCCATGTTATAGCTGCCCCATAGTCCCTGAAGGGACTCAAGAAGATTAGTCAGGAAACTTGGGTTTGAAATCTGACTAGAGTTTCTGACCACAGACTAAGCTATTAACCTATTAACCATTGTGTCGGAACAGGTGTCTGCAAATGAAGCTCTCATGGTTATCTGGGAATCTCTTAAGCACGCTCGCCAGTGTCAGTATGTATCTAGCTGGTTCAGATTCACTCACATTGAGGCTAAATACATCACTGGGTATAAAACTTGATAAAATCAAAACTTAACCCTCAAAGCAAAATGATGGAGCATTTTCAATATCAAAATATTATTCTTAGGAAAGTCTTTTCATGGTGACACTACCAGATAAGACAATAGTCACCAAGCTGTCATCTTAGCCATGAGGCTTTGAGGATAAATATAAAAAATGTTGGCCTCTCTAGAAATAGAGATGGAAGAGGTTGGTTTCCATAGCTGACAGTCAAATCCATTTCCCTTAAATTACTTCTCAAAAGCCCCCACCATGCTCTCTGATCCCATACGTTTGGCTAACAGCACCTTCAAGGGATGTTGGGAAATACATATTTTTAGCTAGCCACATTGCTACTACTAAGATATATAGAAGAGGAAAAGGGGAGGGGAAGAGTGAGCAGGAGCTGTGTCTTCTGCACCTCTGATCTAGGAGGACATCTGATACAGACAGCCAGACATGGGCTATCATTAGTACCTTGTAACATCAGATGCAGTGATCCTGGGGCTCTAGATCCTGAATGTGCTCAAAGCATAATCCCATCTAGGGTGCAAAACAATGGGAGAGCCTGTAGGATGTCAGCAAATTAGAACAGTGCCTTACAGACAGACTGAGCTCAGCATTTCCAAGATGCACAGAGAACAGCAGGTAAAGCAGAAAAAACAAGTTTGACTCAGTAATGACTGATAGTAAAAGGAAGAGCTGAAGCCAGGCGTGGTGGCACATGCCTGTAGTCCCAGCACTCGGGAGGCAGAGGCAGGCGGCTCTCTGTGAGTTCAAGGCCAGCCTTCTCTACATAGTGAGTTCCAGGACAGCTAGGGCTACAGGGAGACCATGTCTCAAAAAGACCAAAAAAAAAAAAAAAATAAGAGCTGAACTCCAGTTCTGATTTGTGCTGTATGAGGTTGATGGGTATTTAGGATTTTGCTCTCCCACAGAGACTAGAAGCCATTCCCAAGGCTCCCAGATGAGCTCATTTCAAAGGAATGACTCTCAAGTCCTCAAAAATATCTGGGCTGAGTTGTACAATACACTTTCACAACTGTGAGCCCCTTTTAGTAAGTGCTGCAAGGAAGGGGGCCAGAGTCTACGTCATATGTTCACTAGAGCAAACAGGTAAATTCTCTTGGCAACCTTGAGCTTTCCCAGGCAAGCATTTTAACTGGGTGCTGGTGGGGGATCACCATAGGGACACAACCATGTGTTGATGCCAGAGTTTGATCAGCTCTTAGTACAGGTCAGTTATTAGGTGCAGAGAATTCCACAGCTCCTGGAGGCTGGAGGAATCCGTTTAAATCAGGACACCAAGAGACTGCAAGACTAGAGTCTGAATCCCAGCTCCTCGAAAGCCAGGATGCCTCACATTTCTCTCAATGGTCTTGTCAGCTGGGTAGACCAGGTCCTGCAGATTTCATTCTCCAAGGACTGTGGCTAAGCAGGGTTAGAATTAAAACATTCTAAGCAGATTTTCTTAAACAAATGCATACTGTCTGAGTAAATGCGTTGAATGTTCTTGACTCAGAGACCGAAGGAGCACTTGGTACCAAAGCTGAGTGGGATGAAAGGAGGCTCCGCTTTGGTGCTTTCTCTTCTTCTGTCTGCTCCTTTAATCTCTTCATCACCTAGTTTTTAGGACCGCCCTGTTCTCTCCTAGATATAATCAGTTGTCATCCATGTGCCACTCACTAACTGTTCCCCTTGTCTTAGTCAATTATGACCTCTAATTGCCCCCAAGGCCACAGGCTGCGATGGCTTCCTTGCAATCCGTGGATTCCAAATGGGAAGGTGGACCTCAGTGTAGAGAGCCCTTCCAGGCAGGAAACCAGAAAGGATCATGGTTCTCAGTTCTTCCTACTTGTCAGTTCACAGTTCGTGAGATGGAAGCCATGAAGACAGTATGCCACAGTTTCCGGGAGCATTTAGAGGAAACTGAACAGCACTTCATGGGACAGCAGGCACTCTTTTCCAGAGACATGTCAGAAGAGGAAAGGTAATTATCAAAGAGAGCCATAAAAGTAACTACCAGACCACACGCCTGGAGCAAGGGAAGGTAATCGGGCCAGGCCAGGCCAGATGAGCACTCTGGCACAGAGCTGAGAAATCAGTCAGCTCTTCCCTTGCTCTCCTGGTCTCGTTTTGGCTTCCTCAGTGGGAAGCTGTGAGAGCCATTTACTAGGCAGGTTCACTATTACTGAAGATCAGGGCTATTTGAGAAGCTCAGAAGAGGAACACCGCTGGGAAGAGGGGAGCTTCCAGCAGGATGTGTTTAATTGAACAAAATGGAGTTAGTAGATGCAAACATTGGGTGGTTATTAGAGTTTTGAAAATGTCCATTATTTTCATATAGTTTAAAATGTTGCCAAAATGGACACAGCCTGGAGAAATTGGGATACGTTTTAACAGTAAAGAGCCTGAATGTTGTGAATTTTCTCATTTTTATGCAGGTCTCACCATGCAGAGGCAGATCCACCTGCCTCTGTCTCCTGAGGGCTTGGATTAAAGGCATTGTTTTGTTGTTGTTGTTGTTGTTGGTTTTGGTTGTCTTTTTGCCTGCATGTATGTTTGTGTGCCACATGCATGTTTGGTGCCCAAGAAGCCATAAGAGGATGTCAGATTCCCCTGAACCTGGGGTTACAAATCCTTGTGAGCCTCCATGTGGGTGCAGGGAACCAGACCTGGTCCTCTGCAAGAGCAGTAAGTGACCTTAACCTCTGAGCCATCACTCCAGCCCAGGTTGTGTGTTCTTACTAGGGAGATGGATGTGTTCTAGAGCTGCATGATGGTTATAGTTACGTAACTTGGTAAATTTCCTACAAATCAATGTATTGTACCTTGAAATGGGTAAACATGATCCATAAATAGAATTGCTTTTAAAGGAAAGGTGGACTAGGGATGTAGCTCAATGGCCCTGCATTTGCCTAACATGCAAACCCATGGTTCAACCCTACAATGCAAAAAAGAGCAAAGTAAGGAGAATGATATAACCCAGCCTAGTCTAGTTTGATCCCCAGGGCCCCCATGGTGGAAGGCAAGAATTGACTCCCACAAGAGTTGTCCTCTGACCTGCACAGACATGCACACACACACGCATGCACACACACACACACACACATACATGCACACACTGCAGCATGCATGTGGGCACACATACACACACACACACACACAAATAAATACATGTAAAAAATGTTTTTTTATTTCACAAATCAATGTATTGTACCTTGAAATGGGTAAACATGATCCATAAATAGAATTGCTTTTAAAGGAAAGGTGGACTAGGGATGTAGCTCAATGGCCCTGCATTTGCCTAACATGCAAACCCATGGTTCAACCCTACAATGCAAAAAAGAGCAAAGTAAGGAGAATGATATAACCCAGCCTAGTCTAGTTTGATCCCCAGGGCCCCCATGGTGGAAGGCAAGAATTGACTCCCACAAGAGTTGTCCTCTGACCTGCACAGACATGCACACACACACGCATGCACACACACACACACACACATACATGCACACACTGCAGCATGCATGTGGGCACACATACACACACACACACACACAAATAAATACATGTAAAAAATGTTTTTTTATTTCAAAAATGGGATTTGCACCATGAGAAGGACGTTGGAGGGTCACACTTCGAAGTGATTGTTAAAGTTGGTTATTTTCTATTATTTCCCTGCAGGGAAGAGGCTGAGCAACTGAAAACTTTACGAGAGGCCCTGAGGCAGCAGGTGGCAGAGCTGGCTTTTCAGTTAGGAGACCGAGCTCGGCAAATCAAAGAAGGGATCCTACTGGTAATGGAGTGTGTGGGGGCATGGGGTGCAGAGGGGTGCAGGGCTGACTCCTCCGTTCTACTACTCATAGGAGGGCGTTGTAAGTGAGAAGACAGTTGTATGGCCTTTTCAGATTCCAGTGCTATGTGACCACACCTGCAGATTAGACATAAAGAGAATGACTTGGGTTGTTCTGCTCACACCCACGTAGTTGTGAACTGGTGCACAGCTCCACTGTGTGCCCACCCTCCACCCTCCCCACGGCTGTACCCTGAAGTCTTCCCTTTTCGGCCTCGGTTCAAGCAAAACCAGAATTCATGAGTTCTTGGATGAGCCATTGTAAAGCAGAGTTGCAGTTTGTCAAAGACATTTAGCATAGATCTTAGCACAGCAATTAATAGATAGAGATGAAGGAAAAGTACAGGACACATTCACCACACTCGTGTGAACGAGCTTCTCTAGGGAGAGTCACAGGTTTCTTTACAGTGATACCCACTGGAGATTTGGAGGGCTCTCAAGTTACATCTCTGAAAGTTGCTAAGAACCCTTTCTCCGCTTTAAAATTGTTCAAAGAGTGTAGCTTGCAAGGTTAAACGTTAAAGACGGGACGAGGGAGATGACTCATTGCTAAGAACTTTTACTGTCCTTCAGAAGAACCTGAGTCGGGTTCCCAGCACCCACGAATGACTAATGACTCACAGACACCTGTAACACCAACTCCGGGGGATCCCACATCCTCGCCTTCACTTCATGGGCGACTGCTAATACACATGCACAATCATTAAAAAATAATAAAAATAAATCTTAAAGAAAATTAAAGGGGCTGGAGAGATGGCTCAGTGGTTAAGAACACTTGTTGTTCCTGCAGAAGAACAGAGTTTGAATCCCAGTATCCACATGGCAGCTAACAACTGTCTTAACTCCAGTTCCAGGGCATCCGACAGCCTCTTCTGTCCTCCACAGGCATTGCATGACACGGGTGCACTTACCTACAAGTGGGCAATACACGCATACGCACAAAATAAAAATGATAAATAAAATATTTTTTAAAAAAAGAAAATTAAAGAATTTTCTTCAGTAAACAATGTTTTAAGGTAGACTTGTGGAATACTGTTTAGGTTTAAGGGGAGAGGTCAGAAACTCAAGTTTGTACATCTTTTGAGCCCTAAGTAAACATACTTTATTTACTGTCCTTGAAGAGATGTCTTTTGAAAAACATATATTGTTTTGGTGAGGAGAAATTTGGTCTTTCTAAGTAGCACCTGAGGTGTCCTGCCTTTCTCAGCAAAGTAGATCAGATCCTGGGACCCAGACTTTTTCTGTGTGTGGCACTAGCCTGCCTGGCTACCCACTGTCTCACCAGCCTTCCTGGCTACCCGCTGTCTCACCAGCCTGCCTGGCTACCCGCTGTCTCACCAGCCTGCCTGGCTACCCACTGTCTCACCAGCCTGCCTGGCTACCCACTCCTTCATGTCTTTGTTTTCCTTTCAGCAGCTGGAACTTCTCTCGGAGGAACCACCTGAACGTTACACTGATCTTCAACAATGCGACTGGACCGAAAGCAAGCATGACCAGAGTTTATGTCCTCAAACCCACGTCGTGGCCCCTGAGCCTGCTGTTCCTCCCAGTAGTGGGCAACAGGCTTCCTGCTTACGGGTGACCCAGCTGCCTGCCCTTCTTCCACCCAACCTTGAGACCAGAAGGGAGATGTCTCCCCAGTCACCAGCAAGTGCAGAGCCAGGTCCAGACCCTTGGTCAAGCTGTTCTTCTGGAGAGAAGGACTCTAGATCAGAGTGGGTTTGATGACTTTTGTGCAGAATGGAAGATTCCAGAACAGCCGTAATAAGGGAATCCAAATTTCCACCCCCCAAAGTGTGTTCTTGCCCATTCTATGATTAGACTTGAAGTGTGCAAATATCAATTTATTATATAAGTACCTACCTAGTATGTATCTGACTCAGAGTACACTGTAGTAACTCAGTAGTATACAGTTTCTGCCCTGTATGCTAGTGGAGGAGACAGCTTTTATAAGAGCAGAATGTGGAGTCTGAGGAGGGTACAGGGGTCAAGCAAGCATGGTTAGAGATACAATATTCTGTTGCTAGAGCACCTGTGAGCAGGGCAGAGCGCCTACTCACCAAGAGTTGGATAAAAAGAGAAAAAGCAACAACAAAAACACAGATTTCAATACAGACAGCACGTAGAGACATTTGTGTGATTTCACAGAGGGTGACATGGAAGGAAACTACCTTGTAGTCAGGACCCAGGACACTCTGCAAACACCTCCCAACCAGACCCCTGGTGGAGCCTATTTTGTTCCTTACCCTCCCTGCTTTGGGAAATGCTGTGACTTCATTGTGGCTCTGCTTCCCAGGGACCATCCAGTACTTCCTCCAGTGACTATATCTCTCTAGAATTTGGAAATTTCTGCTCTACCCTTAATTCTCTTCTTTTACTCTCTATGTACAATTTTGCTCAAGATGCACAGTGAGGCATCTGTGGCCCCCACACCAACTCTCCCCAGAGTTCCAGGCCAGCATTTTCTACCTTCTTGCCATACACACTTGAATCCACTAGTCTGCCTTGCCTCCTGTCTGTCACTTCAGAATCAGCCGCTCCCTTTTTATTACTGCCTTGTTTTTCTGTGCCACATCCCTCCTTTTCCACGTTATGACCCAATTTCCAGCTCCTAACTGGCTCCTGGTATATTCTATCTGTATATCCCAAATTTCCTTTTCTCTACTTCCTAAACTTCTCTGTTGTTTTTTTAAATGTATTTTTATCATAATCCGCCCCTCTCCCCATCACCCTCAGATATACCCCCACCTCCATAGGCACCCCACTTCCTGTCCTCTATTTATTCAAAGCCCATCGAGTCCAATTTATGTTTCCCAAATACTCTTGGGTGTAAGTCCATCCCTTAGAGTGTGAGCAACCTACCCAGGGGTCATAACCTTAATTCCTACACAATTTACTTGTGTTAGAATTTTGTGCTCCAGTTTCCTGCAGACTTTGACCTTGTGTGTGGTTCCTACCTTTCCTTCACCACAATGTCCACTAACCTTATTATCTCATATCCTGCTTTGCTCTTAGGTTAAGCACTGTTTCTTATATGTTCCTGCTACCTTTCCTATCCATGCATTTGTAGAGTCAACCAACCACAATTCAACCATATTCAGAAAACAGTTCACACCTGTGTATATAGACTTTGTTCTTATTCCCAAAACAACACATTTATTTTATAACCTGATATATTAGGCATTATAATTAATCTGGAGATGATTTAAAGTATGCATGAGAAGTGTATAAGTTTCATGAAAGCATAACAGTTAATACACGGATTATGGATAAAATAAATGTAGTAAATCAGTTGCAGTGTTTAACCCAGTACCCATGACAGAATAAGTACTCAACGTGTATTGACTGTTACTAATGCGCAAACCAAAAATGCAGTAAATTCCAATGTAATTATTATCGTCCTTCTGTTGAAAGGTATTGTATGAGCAAAGCAGATTACTCATAAAGAATATTAACAAATGCCTGATGAGAGAATGAAGAGAATAAATTAGCACTCTCAAGAGCCAGTATGGAAAATGATCTGCCTACAGAGGAAGCACTATGCCAGGCTGCAGTCGGAGCTAAGTTTGGATTAAGGGGGCTTTGTGGGTGATTTTAACCATCAGAAAGATGACTTCAGAAGTGATGGAGAAGGAAAAGGAGGCTCCTTGCTTTCAAATGAAGAATGGCACATGGGCTCTCCAAAGATCTCTAGTCATTGGTAGTACCTGTCTGTTTCCTCACTCTCCAGCCGAGAGCACAAAGGGATACAACGTGTATAAAGCCTGCCCCATCCCACCCAGAAACTTTGCCATCTTCCCTGGTGATGGGCTGATTGCCCATGCTTCTTCCAAATATCACTTGGAATTCTGATTCCCAGGCCTTTGGAGTCAGACAGATGGAAATCCCTGGCTTTCTGGGTTCATGTAATAAGTGTATTATCTCCAACTGGTTCTCTTTCTCTAGAGAACTCTGACTTGTACAACGAAGAGAAGCTCAAAGATCAAAAGATTGACCTGTAAAGAGATACAGTGAGTCCTGAATTTGTCATTAGTAAGAAGCAATTAAACTGTGGCATTAAACCCAAGGTTTAGGGATTAAATACAATTTCACTGTTAATCATCTGTATTGAATAAACTAACCACTCTAGGTCTCAAGGTAATTACTTATAAATTAGTAGAGATAATGCTTAGTCAGACCTTTAGCTCAAGCTTGAATGTAATCGAGGCTCAGTAAATAGTGGCATTCAAAATGGTGGGAAGATAAGTCGACATCATTGGTTGACTCTATGCATGGCTGAGGTACTACACTAAGTACTTTATGTGCCTTGTCACTTGTGTTTGCAGCAAAATCCCAAAAGGCAGGAGTTCATCCATGCATATGTAAACACACACACACACACACACACACACACACACCACCTATTCAAACTCACACTATGAAATTTCCAAGGTCTGGGAACTGACCCCGATTTACTTATGGGGTTTTCCTTATGGGTCTGCCAGTCTTGGGGCTTATGTGGAACTCACTATTGGGCCCAACTCAGCTAGAGGACCCTACTTCTAACTGCATTGTGCAAAGATCTTTGCAGAAATTTTGCTTAAAGTACTCATTCCTTAGAAAAGTTTAAAAAACTATACCTACCATTTTAGCAACTTTTTTTCTCACAGCCTGCTGTCCTGCTGCCAAGAACAGTGGCAGGAATCCCTTCCCAGTTCCTGAACGAGCCACTAGACCTATTATTACTATTATTACCTTACTATTCTGTCACCTCATGCCAAGGTCCTGTGTCTTCTTTTTCTCCAAAGGTTGATCTTGTCCAAGATGATTCCTGATGAAATTCAAACCATGTGTTTGAAAATAGAGAAAATCATTAACTATAATACTTTCAGAAAGTGAATGACTGACATTAAAAATCCTTTTTGTAAGTTGAAATTAAATAAGAAAAAGAAGGAAAAGCTATCTGACTACCTGATCACTTTCAAATTTGGAAATTTGCTGGGGAACAACTTGGTCTTTTCTGTACCAGGTTCCTCCCTGTGTTAATTTCATCCCCTTTCAGATTCCATTTCAGTATTCAAAGTCAAAAGCTATAAATTGAGAGGCTAATTTGAAAAATAACACTTGGAATTCAAGTCACATATTTTCCTTGGTTTCGTTAAGCATGAGTGAAGACCCAAGTCGCATGATGGAGACAAAAAGATGTAACCTTGACATTAGCTCTGAACTACAGCATATGCAAAAATCATGCAGATTTGTTTATTTAAGAGATATTTTCTTTATTTGTAATTTTTCTTTAGAGCTATACATCAGTTTTTCTTCAAAAGGGAATAATTTTGCTAACATTAAAAATAAAACAAAAGGCTTTCTAATGACATGAGACTCTGTTCTGGAGTAGGTGGTTTTGGTAAGGAAGTAATCAATTTCTGTGAAATAAATAGGACATTTGTAAACAGATCAAAGAATCAAAGTTGTTTCTTCTTAAGAAGAAATATTTCCAGGGTGTTTGTGGGTTGTATATCTAATTTCAGATGGCAATTTGAACGATGTGTAGCAGTCATAATTACAAGGATTACAGATTATCCAGACTGAAGTCAAACTACCTTTCTTGAAAATTGGAGAATCGGAGCAAAAGCTGAAACCAGAAGGCACCTTCTTTACCTCAGACACTGCCCCTCTCATGGTCTACGTTCAAAACTTCGGCAGGCTGCAGATTTTGTGTGGAATGCTCCCTATCTGTGCCAAGTGAAGAAAGAACTCTCTCCATCAAACATTATTTCACATCATAAAACCGAAGACTTTCCTTCCTTGGTCCTTTGAGAATGCAAAGTTCCCTGAACTACTAAAGCCCACAGCTCAGCCAGTCTTTGCCTTGAACTCATCAGGAAGATAGAAGAGAAAGACACTGAAATTGGAAGAGAATTCTTAGTCTCATTCATAAAGGATGGACCAAACACAGAAGCTTTAGAACAATTGTATTAGAATTTTAAAGAAAAATCCTCAGGGTAGGTAAACTGGGAATCTCAGCAGCTGCCTTGAGGAGGAGAATGGAGGGGAGAAGGAGAAAAGTCGTGAAGCCACGCAGGTTTGGCACCTGCGAGGAGCCAGACATGGCTGGGAGAAGGAAGCTTTAGAGAAAAAGTAAGGAAACACAAGATGCTAGGGCAGCCCAAAGCCTTAAAGAAAGCGTGTTTAGAGAAGGGATCCGAAGAAGAAAAGGAGAGATTACACTTTTCTGAAGAATTCAGAAAAGCAGATTACAGAGACCTACATGTCTGTCACTGGGTCCAGAAACTCTGCACTAGGAGGTGGGATTCCAGACAGGAAATAGTCCCTGTCCCATTAACACACTAGTTATTCCACCCATCTATTTAGCATGACTTAAGGCGGACCTGCCTTACTAAGGGTGGTTCTATGACCAGATGATTGGATTGACCAGTGAAATTGGAAAGATAGGTCTTCCAACAGAGAGACTAGAGATTTTGTAGCCTTGACCAGTTAATCTTATGGGTCTGTTTGCTAGTCTAATAAAATCAATACCAAAGCATTCCTCACTATACTACCATTTTCTGTATCCCATTATATCTAACAACTATTTCATGACTAATGACAAGGTACCAGTCACAGAACATTCTTAAAATGATGGTTTTGGGGAAGATAGTGGATGATAGGCAGGCATATTCTTCTAGACTCTCCAAGCAATGAACTGAAGAAAGAGAAACAGCTATTTGAAGAGGTGGGTGAGG